TTTCCCTGTCGAGCTTGCGGGCCGTTCTGATGATCCCAGAGTAAGGCTCAATAAAAAAGTCCCCCTCGCCATCATCTCCTCCCTGGAAGGTGTAGCTCAGTCGACCGTTAGATCCCGAGTCTCTGTCTGAAGCGGACACCTGGAGTACACTAGTGTATACCGGTGCATCCTCAAATACCGTTCCCTGGTAGATGTCCCGGAGGAACTGCGGTGCATTGTCATTGGCATCAAGAATGATAATCTCTACATAAGTGGTGTCTGATTTCTGGGGAATGCCGTTGTCACGGGCAATGATGGCAAGTGTGTAGGATGCCAGATCTTCGTAGTCAATCTCAATCTGAGTTGTGATGGCACCAGTGTCAGGATCAATCTTGAACTGTGGCACATTGTCCTCCATTTCATAAGTGATCCGGGCGTTTTCACCAGTGTCCTCATCGGTGGCACTGATGACCACAACAGTTGAGCCTACGGGCCGGTCCTCGCTCACTAAAACCTGGTAGTTAGCACTTTGAAATACTGGTCGATGGGTGTTGGCATCAGTCACATTAATGAAGACTTGAGCTGTGTCATGGCGTGTACCATCCGAGGCGGTGATTGTTAGGAGATACTGCCTTTCTTGCTTGTAGTCCAGAGGTAGTGCTAAAGTAATAAGTCCCCCTCCACTCTGGCTGGTGATGGCGAACCTGTTCCGTGTGTTCCCACTAGATATTTGGTACGTTACCACACTGTTTACATCCCTGTCTACAGCTGTGACAGAAAGCACACTGGTGCCCACAGCTGCATCCTCATTGACCTTTAGGTTATACAAGTGCTGTGTGAAGGTGGGGACATTGTCATTTACATCTAGTATAGTGACACTTACACTAGCTGAAGATGACATTGTAGGAACCCCGCAGTCTCTGGCCTCAACACCAAAACTGTAAAACTCTGTAGTTTCCCTGTCCAACTCGGCACCAACCGTAATCCATCCAGTGTTGTTATTGATAGTGAACGGAAAACCAGGTGATGTGTCAGTTAGCTTGTATTCCAAATGAGCATTATCACCTGAATCAGCATCGATAGCTTGAATGTGCATCACTGAGTAACCTACAGGAACATTTTCTAACACTGAGGCTTGAAAGGGTGTGCTGACAAACATGGGGGCATTATCATTAACATCCACCACTTGGATTACAACCATACCTGTGCCATTAATAAGAGGTGGTCGCCCTCCATCTTGTGCTTTCACTCGCAGTGTGTAGTCTCTTATCATCTCAAAATCTAGAGGGCTGATAACATCAATGACACCCGTAGGGGAGTGTATGTAAAACTGGCCCTTTATATTCCCATTTATGATGCTGTAATGCACTTTTGCATTATTCCCGGCATCTTTATCTGTAGCCTTCACCACAGCTACTTGTGAATTCACGGCTATGTTTTCAGGAACTTGAACTACATATCTCTTCTCACTAAACTGAGGGTAGTTATCATTCTCATCCTCTACGAAGATGTGCACTGTGGCTGTGGCAGTACGTGGACCGGGCTCTCTGCCCTGGTCGTTGGCTTCAACAATAATCCTGTACTGAGATTTAACTTCTCTGTCTGGTCTGACTCTGGTTTTGACCAACCCATTCCTTGGATCAATTTCAAAGCAAGTGTTCACCTCATCATTATTCACAATCTTATAAATCATATTGGCATTAGAAGGGGCGTCTCCATCTGTAGCCCTAATAGTCATCACTTCAAAGCCTACTTCAACATTTTCTCGAATACTAACCCTATACTCATTTTGTTCAAAAACTGGCGCGTGGTCGTTAGTATCGCTGACTGTGATAGTGAGGTACGCGATAGCTGATCTTTTAGGGGTTCCCCTATCAGTAGCAGTAACTTTGAACACATGCGTGTCTTTAACTTCCCTGTCTAAAGGTTGCAGAGTAGTTATACCACCCGTATCAGGGTTTATTTGAAATAAATGGTTAGATCTGCTGTCAAAAAGAGCTTCCATATCGTATTCAACAACACCAGCGTCTCCATCATCGGCGTCGAAGGCTTTGAGGGTAATGACGCGCGTTCCCGAGGGCTCGTTCTCGGGCACTGATACCTGGTAGTTTGGCAGTTGAAACTGAGGAGCAGAGTTCACGTTTCTTTTTTGACGTTTAGCCCACGGGTCTAATTGACCTCCAATGTGTTTTCTGCTTAAATGTAACTTAACATCGACAAATAAAGAGCCATTCAGTGAGTTAGGCATTAAACAAAACAAATTCGCTTCATGAGGTAAACAGAGGCTCGTGCTCCTGAGGGAAATAACGTGCCGCTGGTCTTTCTCCACACACCTACCACGAAACATTTGAGAACTCCGCATGGATACAGGTAAACGTTCGTAAATGTTTATGGGTAAGAAGTCTAAAGAAAAACATGTCTCATACCCAGTCAAGAGATATATATAGGCATCTGGTTTACGATTTTTTCTTTTGTATTTATTGAAGCAGTTATGCCCATGAACGAATGTATTGAAATTAAGCAGAATGAAGTTTTCTGAAACCAGAGATTTAATCCGCAAATACAGTGGCACAGGATTTCTCGGTAAACGAGTGCAGTCAACTTTGCGCGCGAGTGATACCAGCCCATCACTTCTTCTGATCTTTAGAACGTGCCGTAAAGACTTATCTGTGAGACTTCTGTCGATTATGTACGTCCATTCTGGCCCGATTGATACATTTGCCAGTGTTGCACCAGGCTGGAGGGCTTCCGATAGATGTAAATCCAAGCATCCAAACGGTGAGAGATGAATAAGTAACCCAAAGCACATCCATATCACTGGTAATTCCATGGCTCACGCGCATCTCGTTGAGAAAATTAGTCCAAACGATCCAGAACGTCCGCAGTCTGCAAAATTCCAACCATTCCTGTAACGTGAAAATGCACATTGGGTCAAGGCATGTTTCTGTGTGCAGAGCAGCAGGGACCAGAGAGCTGCACTGATAAGTTTTAATGAGTAAGATGGCTCTTCTCCCTCCCCTCCCACAACAATTTGCATGGACCTACTCATGCATTGTGATTTTGAAATATCCAATGAGCTCAACCGAATAGCTTACATTCGTGGCTATTAAAGAACACAGTTTTAAACTTAAATGTAAACCATTTCATCAATCTAAATTTTCACGTTGAATTTTTCCCCTATTATGTAAAAGATTAAAATGTTCTAAATACTCTAAATTCTAAATACTAAAAGAGACACAAGAATAGTTAAAAATAAGATTTAAAAAATAAAAAAGGTATTTTTTGTTCCAACTTAATATATATATATATATATATATATATATATATATATATATATATATATATATATATATATATACACACACACACACAGACTTGGGTTGTTAACATTTCCATAATCATTTGAACACTTTTAGCGGTAGCCCTACTTACTCTGTTCATTCCATGTACAACCTTTTTCACCGTGCATTGTTCAGCCATAAATAAACACCAATAAAATAGATGTAGGCTATTACTCAATTAAATTATCTGATTTCTTGAAAAAAGAAAACGTGCTGAAATACCTTGTCTATCCCGAGGAAATAGATTTCATGTTCAACTCTTACTCATTTCCCAATATAAAACAGCATGAAATGGAATTTAGTTTACATACATAAGAAGATACAAGTGTTTCGTATGATAGTAGTGATCTTGGGCAGATCTTGGTTGAGTACGCCCCCTTGTGGATACTTAAATGAATAGTTCACTTAAAAATGAAAATTCTGTCATCATTTACTCACCCTCAAGTTTTTTCAAACCTGTATGAATTTCTTTCTTCTGCTGAACACGAAAGAAGATATTTTTAAGAATATGGGTAACCAAACAGTTGATGGACCCCATTGACTTCTATAGTAGGAAAAAAATATACAATGGAAGTCAATGGGGGTCCATCAACTGTCTGGTTACCGACATTCTTCAAAATATCTTCCTTTGTTATATTTGTTGTGTGCATATATATATATATATATATATATATATATATATATATATATATAAATAAAATTATTGTAAAGAACAATAACACAACTTAGCAAAACATTGCACAATAACGTTTCATGTCTTAAAATACAAAACAATAGACAGACAAAAGACTGTCTAAAAATGAAAAACATTATAAAGTCTTGCCTTGCCTCTGGTCAATCGTTAGTTGAAGATATCCATATATGGTTACTCTCAAAAGGAACTTGATGCTAAATAACTTTGGCACAAGTTATGGAAAAAGTAATTGGGAAATTGGCTGAATAAATAACATTAATTCTGAGAAAAGGTCTAGAATAATTTCTTTGCAATAAGTGTGGCTAACTTTAGTGGGGCACTGTACCAATCAAATCCAGGTTGAAAGAAACAGTGGTTTAGAACACACATTCTATGATCATTTAAAAAAAAAAAAATCTTTAAGTATTAACTTAAGGCCCATTCACACCAAGAAGGATAACTATAACGATAACTATAGAATCCACATTAATGCCTGATAAAATTCTGTTTATTACAAGCACATGCTGTGGGTGTATTCTGATTGGCTGACAATGGTTTTACCGTTCAACAGCTGAAAAAATCGTTCTGAAAATGATTCCAATAATAGGGCTTCCCTATTCTCATCGAATTAGAACAATTAACACAGCCTTCAATTTGAATGAAAAAATAAACAGACGTCCACAAATGTGATTTTCTCACAGTGCAACAAGTAGTATGCTCGCTAAACACACAAACAATATATATTTCTTTACATACTGCTGATTTTTTAATACATATTGACTTAAAAATCCAAATTATAATTGTTAAAGCCAAGGGATAGTTCACCTATAATTCTGTCAAAATATCTTATTTTGTGTTCCCCAGAAGAAAGTCAGTCATACAGTTTTGGAATGACATGAGGGCGAGTGAATGATGACAATTTTCATTTTTGGATGAACTATCCCTTTAAATAGCTTCAATCTTTGTGCCAAAAAGTGATTCAATTCAAACTAAATATCTAAATAAAATTCATGTGTTCAAGTTTCATTTATTGCAGTTGATGGGTACAACATTATGTAAACGTTTCAAACTAAACTTAAATTCTTCCAACCAAAAACGTAGGGTTTTTTTGCCACTCTCTTCAGTTCTCAATTCCACAGAACCACCCTGAATGAGGGACATTAGTAAAAAAAATGGCCAGCAATGGGGATGATTACATCAGAAAACAAACAGCCCACAAAGCTTGTTTAACAGTATCCAGTCAGAAAGTCTGATAGAGCCAACACAGGCAGGATGCTACTGGTAATACGGTCTATATCGTGACTGGTCAGGGTGGTGAGGCCCTGGCATCTGTCCCTGTGGTGGCGGCCCCTGCATACGGGGCGGATGGGGTCCGCGTGAATTGGGCCACATCCCTGGGCTCATGCCACCTGGTTGGGTAAAAGGTGGGCTAAGAGTGCCTTGGTCCTGTGGCATTGAGTTTGGGTTGTAGTGGGGAATCGGACCTGGTGGAGGGTGATTCATGTAGGGTGGCATCTGGCTGATGATGTGTCCAGGTGGAGGGGGTGTTGACATGGGAGGTGCCTGGTTGTAAACCATGTGAGGTGTGGCCGAGCCTTGCGGCGGGTGCTGCATGGGGATGCTGATAGGGGGGGGTGGGGGCGGCGGAGGCCTGTAATGTGGCTGTTGTGGTGGGGGCATTATGTGATGCGGGTGAGAAACCACTGGTTGGCTGGAGTAATCACCAGGGAGATGGTGCGGAGGCGGGCCGGGAGGTGTCTGTGGGTGAGGCTCACGGGGAGAGCGGCCCAAGCTCCCCGAATCATCATGAATGGGCACTGTGATGAGGTTGCTATGCTTCCGTGTGGTCACTGTGGCAATCCGGAAGGTCTCCGGGGGGAGGGGCCGTGGGGAAGGCCCCAGATCGGAGGGTGAGGATGGAGGTGGATGGTTGTAGTTATCGTGGCCTTGCAGTGGGGAAGGAATGAGAGGGTGTGATTTAGACAGGTGGGGAGGTGGAGGCAACCGGAAGCGGTCTGGTGGGTCAGAGACCAGCGTCGGGTGTGGTGGATCCTGGCGAGAGCTTCCGGTCTTGCTGGCCCTTATGTGGCGATGGTTGATGTGGGCCTGCAGGTCTCGCTGTGAGAGGTAGGTGCGTTTGCAGCTTTGCACGAAGCTGCACATGAAGAGGGAGCCACGCTGGCACTGCTCGATGCGCTGGACAGGGTCTGTGCAGCTGTAGAGGGACAAACTGAACTTAGGATTTAGTAGGGGAAGTGGACTCTTATACACAAACTATTAAGGCCCGTTCCCACCAACAACTATAACTATAAGGATAAAATTCGAAATATTGTTCTCAATATAAAAGAAGTCCACACCACAGCTATAACGATAATGATATAGAGGAACGATAAAAGGCAGATGATATTGCAGAGAAGTTAATCGCAGAGGTCCAGAAACATCCACCCCTTTTTAAGGATACTTTAAAGAAAATAGATACATGGAAAACAATCGGCCATACCCTCAGAAAAGATGGTGAGAAGTATTAATGGAGATGAGATTTATTTGTCAGGCTAACAAACAATTATCTCAGGTATCCAGCGCTAGTTGACAACTTTGTCTTACTTCCTTTGAAGTTGCAGTGAAAAAGACTAGGTGTTGTATTTATTCCACAATAGTGACTACATCAGCTAAATTCACTTCTAGATTGTTTAGATTAGATTCACTCGAAACATAGCATGCTGAGGACATGCTGGTTAAAGCCGTGTAAATGCAAAAACATGTTCAAAGACATGTTATAAACACTTTAAAACCGCACCTGCTTAGATTAAACAGACCGTTACCGTTTGTTGGTGTGGACGCAAATATAGTTATCATTATAGTTATCGTTCTTGGTGAGAACAGGCCTTTACTCTGATTTCCATTTATATCTGAGGACATCTGAACGAACAAAGGACCTGCTATTCAGTATTCACATTGCCCTCCAAAAGTTTAGGAACACCCTAGGCAATATCAACGTAAAAGCTTATTATTTATTGCCATAATTATTATTGCAAGACCAGCAACAATGACTTTCTTTTTGATTTTATAATAATGCCAGTATTTACAGGTCCTAGTAGTCAGACTGTGATGCCTGATTCCCGGACTAAATTTTGCCCAGATTTTTTTTATTTATTTATTTTTTCCACATGTATAGCTTTACTGATTGGTGGACAATTAAGATTAGTACAGAAAATTGTACAGACCAAATAAAACACAGTTTAGTGATACTATAATATTTTAGTGTGCTCCGATTCAATGATTTTTGTTTTGTTAAAAAAGCCATAAAAAAAGATTTATGCTGATATTGTCTAAAATCCTTTTATGACCAAAAGTAATTGAACGCTAAAATCATGGCCAGTAAAAATCTCAGAAATGGTAAATATCATGACATCCTCCCTGGAAATTTGATCTAAAAATGTATTACATTATATTATATACATAACACCTGTTTTTTGATAATCCAGGGAATTAATAATATATGCACTTTGTAAAATGTAAACCAAAAATAACATGTCTGGCATCAGTACAAAAACAGATGCTTCACATTATGTTATAGACGGTGTAAAGTAGACTGGATGAACCACATTCAAAGCTGTTGTAAAATAGTCGATATAGACACCTGTGACTGCATATCATTTCAATTCTATATCAATATGCCAAATATTTGAGGGTACGTTTACACGACAACGATGTACTAAAAATGGAAAAGTTTTTCCTTCATGTACCTAGATGACAACGTTGTCAAAACCATCCTCATTCACATTGATCAGCAAAAACGATTCAAAACACTAAATTATGATCAGTAATTGACGATGTCACTTTGTAAAGAAACACTATGTGCCTATAGACTGAACACGTAATACGCATGAGCGTGCTGCCAGCATTTTCACAAATTCACATTGTTGTAGTTTTTACAGAGATGATAAAAATATTGTTTTCAAAAAAAAAACTTAGGCTCCCAAAACACCGTTGTCGTGTAAATGAATGGTCAAAACGCATAAAAAGTTTCCATTTTTTAGTTGATAATGTGTCTTTTAAACAGCCCTAAAGACGCAAGTGGTGCACCAAAACTAAATTGCTCTCAATATTATCAATTAACACTGGAAACTAAAAATATTGTGATTGTAATTGTGAAAAATTGTGATTTATGATATATTTATAATATAAATTAAAATGTATATTCAGTCTCTAATGAAAAAAATCCTGCTGAATAAGTCTGGCAACAGGCAGACATTTAGAGGAACACTACATCCAAACTTTATATACCAGGGATAGACGCGGAGTGTTTTTGAAAGCATCACTTGAACTACAAACATACTAAGAACAAGATAAAATCCCCTTAAACAAACTGCTGTGGGAGAAACTCACCCAGGACACATCTTGTCGCATTTCTTCTCATAGTGCAATGCACAGTCATAGCAGAACACATGCTTACAGGGAATCTGAAAAAAAAAACAAAAAAAAAAACACCTTGTCAAAACAAGATCTCCAGCAGTATAAAGTATGTTTTAGGGACATTACCATCTTACCATTCGCCCATAGATCTTTATGGGCAGGCCACACTTGTCACAAAAATGAACTGGAGTGTCATCTTTTACTCCTACCAAGTTGAGCTGAGAAAATAAGCAGATCACTCACTTATATTAAATATTTTATTAAATATTAAAATATTGTTTGAAATTTGTTCAAAATGATTGATGAGAAATGTGTAACCTTATAATCCCAGAAGATTGGCTGAGGGAATCTGCGCTGGTTTCCATAAGCATCTCCAGATTTACACTCAAATCTTTCCTCTTGTTTATAGCTGAAAGGCTCTGAAGATCACAATTAAGTTTATAAATAAAGAAAAACATAAATATATTCATAAACAAGTCATTACTATTTTTTTATTTAGACTGAGCAAAATTCACATTTGTTGGTGTATCCGACTCAAATCCAGCTGTTTATAGTCCAAAAAGCCAAAAACACATGAACAGGGATTCACTGCTATGAGAATTCTGGCTGATGCGATAAGCCGATAATTATTTTCATGTTATGACTAATATCTGATAAATGACAATATTAAAATTGTATATTATTATGTATAAACAAATGAAAAACAAAACACAAAAAACTAAAATAAAATAAAAAATCATTTTAAATGCTACAAGTGAATTTAGGCATCACAACATTATAATGTACAGTACGAAAAATGGATCTTGGTTTTGGATTGGCTGAATATTACATTTAACAGTATTATTAAATTACAGGTGTATTAAAACATTTACTTTAATTGAGCATTAGACAGCAAAGAAGGTTAGGTAATATAAATGTAAAATGAACATGTACAAATAACTATCCAATTTCGGCTGATACCTGATACCGATACGATGCCCATCCAATGTAAATATACCAGATATTTAAATTGCTGTTTTAACAGACAGATACAATCTCATTACTCGCACGTTGGTGGTCAGTCCTAAAGATCAGATTTGAAAACACATCAGATTTATGTGTAGAGTGAACAAGGTGATAACACTCTTTTGCACGATACTGCATCCACTTAGTGAGACTAACCTTCTTCACTTTTTGAGGGCAGTCTGGTGGTGGGACGCTGAGGTCGGGCAGGCGGCTTGCCTCTTACCGTCTGTTTAGACAGTAACTTGATTGGGATCTGTCTGCGAACATCAAGACCTCCAAGGGATCCTGAACCATCAGTTCCTTGAAGGTCATCTGAGGAAACATACACAAGACATCATTAATAAGAAATACACACTAACAAGCACAATACTAAAACTGATACATTATTCATCTAAAATTAATCACATCATATTATCATTAAAAATTAACATTTCATAAAAGTAGGAAATGGACAAATTAAGGAATAGAGACCTGTGTTATCCAAAAAGTGCTCAATAAAAAAGGGGAGAGGAAACTAAGTATTAATAAACTACAACCATAGTAGGGGCAGGTCTTGCTATAAAGCTTATACACAACTTTACATAGTAGCTAATGATTATAACTGTGTTTAAAAAGATATTTGGAAGTCCAATGTGAATGTCTCCTGCGTTTATTTAAATCTGGCACTTGCTGGACCCGCGCGCAGCACTAGTTGGTCATGTCAGCGGCTAGCTGGATACATCCATTAATGCGTTTACTGCCAATACACAACAACGTATAAATAACACCAGGGTTCGCTTGTTTACTGGCAGGTGGTTACCTTCCACTAGAAAGCATTTTGGGTATTTAAAACGTAAACCTGCTGCAGAAAAATACTTCGTTACATTAGCTTGTAGCTCACCATTTTGGTCCATGACTAGACGCTGTTCATACATACTGCGAATCTGCGATGAGGTGGTGGGAGTGGCTTCGTGTGGTTTGGAGTTCAACGTTGCGCACAATTTACGCATATGATGTTTTGCATCATGTGTCGAGTTTTTGTTATTTATACATCGATTGAAAATTGCGTTTTACATATGCAACCACCAAAAGTAGTGTTACAAGCAAAACCCATTCAGAATTGAAAACAAAAGTAATGTTTTATATAGGATACAGACAAAAGAAAACACTGCAACATACACTTTAACATAATAAATAAACCATATGAATACAACAATATAAACATTAACAATAATGATTACATTTACAATGAATTTAAAAATTAATTTTTAACATAAAACCCAACAAAATGTACAAATTTTTCCATCTAAATTAAAATCAAACTATATTATAGGCCTTTATTATATTATAAATTCTATGATAACCCATTAAAAAATTGCACCATATTGAAACAGTGACGTATATGGTCTCAGATAGTAATAGAAACATAAGAAGAAAAAAACTCAGAAACACATTGTGGGTCAGCTTGTTGTATTGTTGAAGACGAATAAATAGCTTCTGAAGACAGGTTTAAAAATTACTCATACACACATGCAAATGTTCTTTTAGCAGAAAAATTGTGCTACAGGAAAAAAAAAATTAGTCTATTCTTGGTATGCAACCTTCCAACTCGATCATTTCTGGCCAGCTTTCATACTTATTAGTTTCCCTATCATTCTTCATGTGCTGAAAAAGACAGAAAAGGGAGAGGCATACATTAAGTATTTTCATTGCATAAACTTAAGCACATAAATGGGTGAATTTGGGTTATAAATGGGTTACCGTCTCAAAGGAGACATGGGTTATGGTTTTCTTTCCTCCCACAAAGATCCAGTTATCTCTGAATTTTATTTTGGAAATATATGAACTGCCAAGATCTGCAATAAGTGCCCTTGCTTCATCATTAAGTCTATAATAAAGGAAGCATACAAATCATGACATGAGACAACACCATCATAAGATGTGAATGTAGTATATGATGAAACTAAAAAAAAAGAAACTTACTTTGTGGCTGGATCATCAAAAGAGGCTATCAACACAAGAGAACCATCCTCAATTGACTTCAGAAACTCTATCAAATCCTCAACCTCTGTCAACAGGAAATGTGAACGGAGAATGAAAAAAGTATTTATAATGCAGAAATACTGAACAACATGGTGTAATGAAGTCAAGACACAACATACTTCCGTTCCACATATTGAAGCTGCCAGTGTTGACGTGTTCACCTGTTTTTTCTGAATTTTTAATGAATAAGAAAGAAAACATATTACACTCTGGCAAGAAATGTATGTGAACCCCTTGGAATGAACTGGTTTTCTGCTGTAATTTGTCATATAATGTGATTGATCCTCATCCAAGTCACAACAATAGACAAACACAATGTGCTTAAGCTGATAACACACAAACAAATCTAATATCTTGTGTCTTTATTGAACACACCCATTACACATTCATAGTTCTAGAGGAAAAAGTAAGTGAATCATTGGAGCGAATTACTGGTCAAACCTCCTTTGGCAGCAATGGGTTAAAGCTCAGGGGTTAAAGTCGGCATGAAATCAACTTTGACAAATCTTCTTTTTATATGTAATATTGTAGCGTTTATGATAAATGATCTATCTGTGCACTTCATTATTTTTTTAATATTCATGTACCCTTATAATCTTTAATCAAATACATCTCCCCCTCGAAACGACCTCTCTTCTCTTTCGGTCACGTGCCATGGCGAAAGGGTGCGGCCAGAGCCGACGAGGGTGCGGCTATCGGTGCACCGCTGTCAGTGTCAGTCATCACAGCCAGTAACATGGAAAATTTAGCTGCTCGTCCTCGTTCTCATCGCCGGGCTCCTCAATAAAAAAATCCTTCATGGGAGGGTAACGGTGGGGAGTCCGGTGGAGAGAAATCCTCCACAACTGAATGTAAACTGGCATTCAAATCTGCCTCCATTTTGTTTGCAACGCCCAACCTCCAACGATCCAATCAATTCCCGAAGGACGAAATCAAGCCCCGCCCTAAATTTTTTTTCTAATTTCAGAAGCCGTTTCACTCGGATATACGTCACAAGAAGGAAAAAATGACAATCTCAACTTCCGTTTCATGCCGACTTTAAAATCTGGGCTCTGACTGGGATGTCTGTGGTGGATTTACTTCGATACATAGGGTCACTGTCCTGCTGCATCACCCAACTTAAGCTACAGCTAGCAGACACCCACCCTGACATTATCCTGTAGGATATTATGGTAAACTTGGGAATTTATTTTCCCCTCAATGATGGCAAGAGGTCCAGGCCCTAACGCAGTGAAGCAAGCCCAAATCATAATGTTCCCTCCACCATACAGTACTTCACTGTTGGGATGATGTTTTGGTGTTGGTGAGCTGTGCCCTTTTTTGCTCCATATGGCACTAAATATTATTCCAGAACAATTAAACTTTTGTTTCCTCAGTCCATAAAACGTTTTTCCCAGTAATGATGTGCTCTTTTGCAAACCTCAGGCACACAGCAATGTTTGTTTTTTACGGGAGAGCAGTGGCTTCCTCCATGGTGTTCTGGATGTTTGCCAGTTCCAGTGATCATGAATGATGTCATCAAGCCTTTAGATTTTACTCGTGGGTTCTTCTTTACCTCATTGAGGATTCTGCGTTGTGCCTTAGGAATCATCTCGGTTGGGCACCCACTTCTAGGAAGCTTAGCCACAATACTTAACTGTCTCCATTTATAGACAATTTGTCAAACTTTTGACTGATGGACGCCTAAACACTGAGATTGCTGTGTATACCTTTTCAGACGGTTCACATCAGTTTATGCTTCTTACCAAAAGCAGTCTTAAAAATATTTGCATGTAATTTATCAATCAAAGTAGCTCTAAACCACACCTTCACTAATTTTATTAATTGGATTCAGGTGTGCAAGGTATTAGCTTTCGTTGAAGTAATTAGTCTATTGATCCACTTAGTTTTTCCTCCAACACTGGGACTGTTTAATGGGTGTGTTCAAAAAGACACGAGAAATTAAAATTGTTTGCGTGTTATCAGGTTAAGCACATTGTGTCTGTCTATTGTTGTGACTTATAGATAAGGATCAATCACATTTTATGGCAAATTATTGCAGAAGTTACCGGTTAATTCCAGGGGGTTCACATACTTTTTCTTGCCACATATTGATAAAATATTTAAAAATACTAATATTAAAATATTACTAAATACAAAACATGGTGCCATTTTAATTTTTGCTTTTTTAAAAAGGGCTCAAAATACTTACCATTGATAACAGCAATATTAATTCCTGGCCAATTACCACGTGTGTCTTTCTCTATTATCCTAAAACAATTGCAGAAATGGTTTAAATTCTGTCAAATAGCACTTATGGTGTTGGTTTAATCATTCAGTAAAAGTATATTTACATTTTTCCGTCAAAGCATATTTGTGGACCAATGATGTTTGTTGCACCGCTGTAAATCTTAAAGGCAAAATCTTTTCCAGGACATGGTTTTGGGAGGCCACATTTGCTTTTAGGACCTGATAAAACATAGACATGTAAATATTTACCCTTAAAGTTTTTTTTACACTGTACCAGACCAGATAATTCGGTAATTGCTTACCATCATTTTTGTGATTATCAGGTTTCCACGGGACATAAACTCCTCCCCCCACTGACCTTTCTGGGTTAGAGAAAAATATAAAACATACATTGTTTATCCTATATATTAGTAGGAATTTTAAAGAAGCTAAATTAATTAATTATATAATTAATTTAAAAAAAATCTGTTGATTAAAATAAAATAGTCTTTATATCAGTAACTCACCCACTAAATTTGATACAGTTAATTCAGGATTCATCTGCAGGAGCTTGAGGACAAAGCTTATGGATATTATGAGGGCAGCCATCATGAAAATAAATTTCAATTTTTCTGTGAAAACAATTGTGATTATATAATTCTCATTTTACCGTAATATCCATCTTTGTTCATAGATTTAATGTTTGTGCATCCTTTCAAAAGTGGAACAAAAGTTTAAAAATGTACTGTCTCCTCTCCACCAGTAAGCTGGTGTGTGGTGGGCGTTCTGGCGCAATATGGCTGCCGTCGCATCATCCAGGTGGATGCTGCACATTGGTGGTGGTTGAGGAGATTCCCCCTTCCATGTAAAGCGCTTTGAGTACCCAGAAAAGCGCTATATAAATGTAACAAATTATTATTATTATTACTACTGATACTTTTCTGATGGTAACTGGTTTTTCGTATTTTCTGGACCATGTTGGGCATTTATGGTCATTAGGGCCTGAGATCCTATTGGTTAATTAAGCTGGTTAGATCTCGTAGACCACCTTGGATCACTAACAAAACAGCAGTTCTCATGTCAAAACCTGTTTGACCACTTTAAGCAGACATGCCATGTTTTTATCAGCAGGAACAAAATTCAAAATTCAACCTAATTTAAATTTGGTTGGTTTTCATAGAAGAACATTCGGCTACTATAAAAAGTCAAGAAGGGCTATGGTATCACGAAAAAACGTTAAAGGCTGAGAATAAAGCTTTTAGAGTCTGCCATCTATGCAAAGTAAGGAAACATTTGCATTCACAGTCACTTTTCAAATGTACTGCTTCTGCATTGTGACAGAAGACAATGTAACCAGGAAACACTGCACTGAACGAGACATCTAGCATGTCTTCAAAAACATAACTTACTTTTGCCTCTCTGTCTCCTGTGTACCACAAGGGGACCAACTAGAAATACAAATGTCAACATTAACATGAAACATGAGAGAGAGAGAGAGAGAGAGAGAGAAATAGGCAGCGAAGAGAAGCAAAACCAACCTCTTCTAACGTATATCATGATGACTGAAATGTTCGGCTCTGTAGATCCAGTGAAGGTGTAGAAAAAGTTATTCAGCACACCACATCAGCAATCTATCAATTGATCGCTTTCTATAAAAAAATATTTAGAACTATATGTATATATATAAATCTTGTCCTTGCGGATCTAATTTAATAAAGTTGCTCTAGAGACTATGCGTAAGGCTGACTAATGGCAGTGCAAAGTGCATTTAACCCATATTCTGTCCAACTTGATAAACTCGTTCTTTAGAATTCTGGCTAAAACGCTTTAAATCCAGTTTGTCAACTTTCATGTCAATAATGACGTTTGCCGTCGTTACTACTATTTCCTTTTACATAGACAATGGAGACCTATTAAAATAAACACATAGGCTAGATAGACTAGGCAAATATTTAAAAAGTAGTATAAAGCAAGCAATCTATCCTACTCATTTAGAAGAAAGATTCCCCTCGTGAGTCCATGCATTTTTCATACTGTTGTACCTAACAGGGAATTAGTATGACAAAAATAAGGCTATTGACCGTTTGTGGACACCGTAGCCTCACGTTGGTGTGTCTGTCGTTCAGCGAGTACGCACTACGCCGCCAAACCGCTAGATGGTGGTGTCGAGTCGACTACAGGAGCACGACTAGCACATATATTGAGTACCAGCACTTCTCACATGTGGCCCCACATGGTCTGCATTTAAAAATGAACTTTTGCTGTTTCAAAACTGTCTTATAAAGGTTGAGAATGCCCAGGCTAAAAAACTGTATAATCGTTTAATAACACTTCAGATGAGCTGAGTCCCTCTTTTTTGGTTTGTTTATGTTATTATTTTGTTTTTGTTTATTTTTATTGTTTTGAGTTCTTTCAATCTGGTTTGTTCTCCCTTGTCATGTGAACAGTATAGAAAATGTCGTTTCAGATGATTTTCAGGAGGTGTGACTCTTAGTTTACAATACAATAAGGTTATATTGTACATTTTGAGGATGTCATATTTTTCTTCTTTGTCAGACGTTTTTATTGTTTATTGTGATAAGAAAAATTTCAATAAAAAAAAAAAAAAAAAAAAAAAAAAAAAAAAAAAAACTTCTCACATGTGGCCGGTACTATGGGTACTACACCGAAATATAGAATCATGCTATTAATTTATTGTAGGCCTATACATCGCGCGTTCGGAGCTTTTGTAAGCTGTACGAACTAAACAGATATTTTCAATGGAACTTTAGATATCTCGAAGTCACATTGTAAAAAAAAAAAGTTTTATACCTCCACATTTTTTTTGTTGAAAAGACTTGATGAATTTGCAAACCAAAATGAATGCTCATTCTTGATAAAAGATTGCAGCCATTTAAGTTTAAGAACCCCATTCATGATATCAAAATGTATTTCCTTCCTCGTATTCTTTTATTATATATATTTTTTGAATGTAGATATTTATTTATTTTCCAAATGAAAGCAAAATTCAGTTTATTAATAGCTTTTATCTAGAAATTGGCAATGAAAGTCCTGCATGGTTATAATAAGTCATTATTCATAATTGAATCTTTTAGTGCTTCAAAAAGTAAAAGTTTTAAGTCTTCCCAAAAGAACTTATGATCTGGTCCAGGAGATTCACCCGTTTTCATTTTTTTAAGGCCAGATCTAATGCTTGGACAGTCAGTCTAATTCTCTGAATGAGTTCTTAACCGTATGACTCTTGAACTGTTGAAATTCGCTCTTTAAGTGGCACGTCTCCAACTCTCCTGAGCTATTTCACTCATGGCTCTATGTTTTTTATGTCCCCTGTGGTGAAAATCAAGTTTTTAATGTTTTTTATGTCTATGTGGTGTTTTTAATGTGCTTTTTTGACAAACCATGTGCAAATTCACAAGTGAACATCATTGCTAAAAAAACATCACACCCACGGACCATTGGCTGAATGTCTGATGCATATCACTTTTCTGAAAACACTTCAAGGCTGCATCTGAAAAACAAAAGGCAACTGACTTGTTGCTTCGCTGTCCTATCAGGCAATGACTTACCAGGCAGCATTTATGCATGAAGATACCAAACTGATTTCAGACAGACTTCTGAGGCAGCACAATGATTTAATGATTGATAATGTAGCAAATTAGCTCAAAATAATAACAATAATCAATCATAACTTGTAATAATTAATTATGAATATTTGGATCTGTTAATAGAATTAATTTAATGTAGTAAAATTAATATTACAATCTATCGACCTGTTCGTCCAGTGAACACTCAGTGTCAATTGTTTATTAATTCTAAGAAAAGTTAATTTCCGTGGAAGGGAAATGTAATTCTTACTATACAGTACTACTAAGAGCCTATGTGTAGTCAAAATTTTAATCGTAAAATAAACTTTGTTTGCTAGCAGTAACCAAATATGTATTGTGCACAAGTTTTATTAACTAAATTACAAACATAACTAATCTAAACACACATACACACAAAAATGGTACAGTAGACCTTAATGCGCCCCTGACTTGGCCAGCTAAACAATCACAGCACATTTTGTATCTCGGAAGAAGGGGCTTCAACGAAACAGGAACTGAATAACGCGTTCTAGCCAAGGGGGTAATACATCAGCCGGAAACTGAAGCTTCGCTTGCGGGCCGCCATTGTAGCAGACCATCACCTGCTGTTAGCATTCCATTGACTCCCATTCATTTTGGCGTCACTTTGACAGCGAATAACTTTACATCTGAGGCGTCCAAAGACGGCTCCATTACTTTGTATCTTACGTTATGGCCCCGTAGAAGCTGTTTTTGTAAATATAGGCTAACGATTGCGTCATAACCACGGGACTCTCTGTTGCACAGTAGAGAAATTACCGTATAGACAGGAAGAGAAGCTCGCTGGCAATCTTTTACTGTCTATGAGGCAATCGGAGGGACATGGAGGCATTAAGTCAAGGGAGAAGCCCATAGATAGAGAGTCCATAAAAGCAACGGGACAAAATATTTCAACAACAGATTTGTTTCAGGTTTCAATTCAGATTTGTCTTGTCACAGCTACTAGAAGACTTACAACTGTCAGACAGGTTGCTCACGTCACATCTACGTCGTCAAGCTCAGTTTGAGCCTGCGCAGTACGCTCAGCCATCAGGAAGTGAGTGCTTCTAATTGGCAAATAAACGCATGGGGCCGCTACAATACAATACAATACGCATGTTTGTATTGTTGTTTGGAAAGTGTGAGTAAGTAGAATTCATATTCTAGTCATGAATATGTAATACCGCTGTAAATAGAGATGGCTACGAGTTACGGTGGGTTGGTGCGAAGGCACAAGTCCAAGATACGGTCACAAACCTAGAAGAGTGGGAGATGTGGATTCCAGTAGCAGAAAAAGAAAGGCTGGAAGGCAGAGTGAAGGATCTGAAAGCATTCAGCAAGAACCTTGAAGCTAGGAGGGCAGAATTTCTCACAGCGCAAAGAATGGCAGAAGAGGATAAAGATAGAGGGAGACTGGAGCAGATGCCCATGCCAGCTCCACAGCCAACACTGAGAATAAAACCAACCTGTTTACCCAGGTTCAGTGGGTATAAAAGGAATTTCCATCGATGGAGAAGAGACTGGGATAGTCTACAAAAGCAGGGGGAACCGACAGGCTCAGTCGAAGTAAAGAAGATCCAACTCCTTGACAGTGTAGATGAAAGAATACGCAGAGACCTCCGTTTGTCTAGTTATAATGCGGAGGACATGTTCAGGGTGCTTGGGAACCGATATGGGAACAAGTCTACAATTGCCTTGGAGACAGTTGAGGATCTGGAGAAAATTCCTGCTTTAAGAGCAAATCAGCCTAGAAAAGTTATCGATATGATCCAAATTATAGAGAAGGCCCTGGATGACCTCAGAGCTTGGAAACACAGGAGCCATCAACAACCCTCTAGTGATCAAATCCATAGAAAGCAAGTTACCTGATAACATCGAGCGAGATTGGCTTGTCTTCATGGTTAACCCGAGGAATAATGTCACGCCGGACGAGAACCTTCTTAAATTCCTGAAAACACATGAGGAAATTCTTGAAAAATTAGAGCAGCTGGGAGTAGGTGAAAAGCCAGAAAATAAATATGCTTGTATGGAAAGAAGATATGCGTCCACACGTTCCACAAGGAAAGGCGGCTGTGTTGTCTGTGGAGATGAAAAGCATAGAGAAAAGATCTTCTTTTGTAAGCGTTTCAAAGAACTGAAGCCTGTGGAAAAGTTGGATGCTGTAGAAAAGCTGGGGGCCTGCAAGAGGTGTTTGGTCTGTCATGGAGAAGATGATGAATGCAAAGACACTTACCTGTGCAGGAACAGAGACTGTAAAAAAGACCACCATTTCTTTCTTTGCCTGAAGGGAGATTTCAAGAGGAGTGATTCAGACAGAAGACAATCAAATGTGAGAAGGCATAAGCTTACAGAGGAGCAGGAGGAATTTGTATCATCCCCAGAGATGGCAGAGAAATTCAAGAAAGCATTCACCAACATCACTGGGAAAACAAACTGTATTATTAAAAAGAATCAGCTTGGAGTGACTGAGTCAAATGCAGTAGAAGAATTGCCAGTTATTCTAATGCTGCTCGAATATACTAATAACTAATAACTACATCACCCACAGAGCTGCCAGGAGATTAAATCTTCAAAGTGAAAACATCACTTTAGTCGTTCATGGAGTCGGAGGAATGGCCATGAAGGTTAGAACCAGAAGATATCTCCTCAGAGTGAGGGTTAAAACGCCCATAGGCACGGAAAGAGCTCATGAGCTTATCTGCTATGGTTTGAATGAAATTGCCAACATCCACAGAGTCATCAAACCTGAACAACTCAAGAGGTTCTTCCCAGAAGTCAAACTAGGAGATCTGAGGAGACCAGAGATAATTGAGCTACTGATAAGCCACCGTGAAGGAAGACTTGCTCCGCAAAGAGTGAAGGTGATTGGAGACCTTGTCTTATGGGAAGGCCCTCTAGGAAAGACTGTTGGTGGAGAACATCCAGGTCTGTTTGAAGAAGTGTGGAAAATAGCATACACAGCTCAAGTCCATGAGATGGTGGAGAGAAGAGCAGCAAAGAAACTCACCAAAGAGATCATTCCCAGCTGGAAAGGGCCAGTATGGTATGTCAGCCACTTAGTGGCACCAAACCCACACTCTCTCACAACACCTGTGCGACAGGTATGGAACAGCAGCCAGAAGTTTAAAGGGGTCAGCATGAATGACCTTCTGCTGAAAGGGTCTGATGTCCTCAATCCCATCCGAGCAGTACTACTCAGGTTCAGAAAAGGCATCCATGCTGCCCTTGGCGACATCAAGAAAATCTACAATTCTGTGTGGTTGGAAGACCTGGAGATGCACCTCCACAGATTTCTCGAGAGACACTGAGGAGGAAGAGATTGAAGAGAATGCGATCACCAGAGATCCTGAAGGCAGGCGGGTTCTTCCTCAAGCCCTGGGTCCGGTCAAGTCAAAGCGGGAGGCAGGAGATCGTACCAGGAGAACAAGGAGCGGAGTCAAGCACAGTACTCATTCTCCCAA